CTTTATAAGGTTGGTTCTACTAGAAGAAAGTAAGGTCATTGAAAGCAATTTTAGGACTTCAGTCCCTTTCTGTTTTCCTCTTTTTTGCTTCCTGTCTGCCATGAGATGAACAGCTTCCTCCACCATATGCTTCGGCCATTGTCACAGGCCCAAAAGTAATGGGCCCTACTGATGATAGATTGAAACCTCTAAAACTGTGAGTCAAAATAAACTTTTCTTCTTTATAGGTTGTTTATTTAGGTATTTAGTCATAGTAATGGAAAACTGACTAACACATATGACTACTGTTAAAAATCCAAGTAGAAAAATAAAAGTCTTGTCTCCCCCCCCCAAAAAAAAAATTCATGAAACTGAACCTGAGACCAAGTCTAAAAATATGGTTTTAGGGGCAAAAATGTGGTGAGAGCATGAAAGCTGGAATTACAACTAAATTGAGTTGAGGAATATGGCTCTGAATTTTTCCCAAGTCCCTCTTTTACTGAGGCAATTCTTTATATAGCACAACTAGTGAAAAAATACAATTAAAAAATAGTGTCTTGGGAAACCCTGCCATTCTGAGGTCTAATTAAGCCACTTGCTGGTGGCCTAGAAGATCACTGCTATGGAAAGATATTTCAAAAGGATTCAGATATGTTCTCTTCCAATTTCTCATTGAAAAAGCCATGAGATACAGACTGAAAAAAAATAGACAATAGTCATCTAATGTAGGGATAAGAATAATCCAGCATAATCAAAATCCTGATGGAATTTCTGCAAAATTTAATGTTGAAGACAATAAAAGAGATACATTCTTGGAGTATACATAGTTCAGCCTCTAAATCGTGAGGGGGTCCCCTCTACTGCAGGATAAATGGTCCCATATAAGGTAGGAACAGAATGTCTTCTGCCTGCCCCTCATTCTTGTGGTCTTCTCACCACTGTTTGGACACTGCCTCCTGAGCCTTCCAGAGTTATGCCTCAAACAGCTACCTGTTGACTATAACCAGAAGCTAGGTCCCTAGGCCTCTGCATGGGTGGGGATGCAGGTRCGCTGTCAGGTGGATGATTCTCAGGTACATTCTTGTAAGCAGGCATGGGGTGCAAGGTGCTCAGGACTTTAAAAGCTCTTATTTATATGGCATTGCATCAAGGACAGCTGCAGGTTGTACCTGAATCTCCAGCACTGGAGAGAACCAGCAGACAGAGGAAGGGCTCTCATTTTAGTCCAGAAGACCTTGCAGATGAACCGAACCAGTGATGGGCCCTGGGTGGTCTGAGGACGGTTTAACCAACTCTTTCTTTGGCAAATTGTAGGTATGGATAGATTTCCTTCTTTTTATACATAAATAGGGAGGGAAAATATATTAGAGCTTCTTAAGAGATGCTGTAAGGAGCATGGTAAAAATAGCAAAGGTAATAATATTGAGAGGTGAAGCTTACCTATAAAATGATTTTTCTACAGGAAATATAAAATATATCATAGATGCTCTCAAGATACAAAACATGAGAAAGGAAGTACAGAGGTATATATGGAGAAAATTAGTCACCTGTTCTTTAGACCTAACACAACTTACATCTCCTTCTCCAGCAGGCCTGTGCTGTGTCATGTCCCTGTGTCTTTGCACATGTTGTTCCTTTCACCAACCTTGTCTTGCTTCCCTTTCAGATTTGGCAAAGTCCCATTCAGGCTGCCTACCTTAGCCCACATACCCTCTCCTTCAAAAGCCAGCACAGCTGCCCCAGGCATCTTGTGGCACCTTTGTCCACGGGCCAGCACAGGAGGTTTCATGCTCCAGTACAGCGGACTTCATGTACTATCACAATTTATGACAGAGTAACTCCAGGTTCTCAATGACAGGGCTTACATTTCATTTATCTCCACAACTTCCACCCATCATAGTTTCTAATCTACAATTAAGGCCACCAAGTAAATGAGAACTCCAGAACCCTCAGAGTAAATGACAACCTCATTTTATAACAAGGACCTCAACAGTTGCCATGAGGATGAAGACAAAGATAAGGGATAAAGAGAAAATGAGAAAAAGAACTAATTCATATCAAGAACCTACTATGCTTAGAGAATTAAAGTACTGGTTATTCCAGAGGACCATTTGACATCTTTTTCTTCTTTTTCTAAGAATTACAGGTTTAGTATATTATCACAAATGAACTCAAGGACCTTTTGGGCATGATATGATGCCACTGAACAGCCACTCTTAATAAGAGATTCATGCAGCAGCAGCAATACTCAATTTGAAAGTGGACACTCAAATTTTATTGGTCAACTGATTTTGTGAAACTTAATAGCATTTCTCTTTAGAAACAGTGTGCTTAAGCCTCCAGACAGGATTGCAAAGGCTTATTTAACCCATAAGGTGGCTAGATTATACTAATAACTGAACCGGGTTACAAAGTATAAGCTAGGTTTGGTTTTGTTCCATCACTGTATAACCAAGCGATCACTTAACTGAAATAGTCTTCTTATCTGCCTTAGAAGTGCTGGGAGTCGACGAGAGTGATGTAAGAGAAACTACTATGAAAAGTGTTCCATACCATCAAACAATAAAGGCAACGGTAGCTTGGCTACTATGAAACTTTGCACATTGAAGTACAGTTTTTCAAGAAAGTGCATGCTCCCTTCTGCCATGAAACTCCATGTGCTCAGTTTCAGTGGGGCAGCTGGAACCCTGGATTACTCTCACTGACCCTTAAGTCACATGGGCTTTAAGACAGGACTCTTGCATGCTTGGTGATTAAAATAAGAAACGAAATTGTCAATGGGATAAATATTAGAGTGTCAATTAAAATCAAAGTGTCTATGGATTTATATGAGAAAATCATTACAGAGATGATAATGACAGAAGCAATAAGTCAAAATATTTCGAAGTGTTTCAGTGTTAAGTACAAGCAACAGTAGCATACATGGAGTGACAAAGATGAAGTCAGGATGAAACAGAATCGATGCCGTCTCCTGAACTTTTATGTCAAATGATATGATCAAAGCACTTGTTTTCACTTCTCAGAGGGAAATCCCTGTTTCTGGTGATGGCAGCTCCTAGAAAGCATTTGCTTTTGATATTTTATCCAGCTATGGAAAACTCTTTTGTATTTCAAGGCTGTTTTCTGGGTAGTTGTGTCTTGCGTCATTTTAAGCTTACATTGCATGTCAGTGTGATGACGTGTGTCACACTTTGCATTGGTCTGAGAAACAGGGAAACATCTGGAGTTTTCAGTAGGTTGAGTTCAGAGAAGCCAAATACTCTAGGGAGCTGCCTTTAAACTAAAGGTCAATTTCAATTCTGAGGCTGGCCAACACTTTCCTATAATATCACGTCTGAGCAGACGAAGGTGGAGAACTCTCCTTTCCTGTCCCAGTCTTGAGCCCATGGGCGAGTCCCATCAACAGGCAAGGCCCACCCTGCTGAGGGAACAGAGTGTCTGGCAAGGAACTGCCTCCCAAAGTGACTTGGTATGCAATGGCAAAGGCCAGACCTTCATGAAGAATACTTTTCCTGAATTAGCTTTATTCCACTTCCTATCTTCTTCCTTCTGTGTCTATTGTGTTCAATACCTTCCTGTTCTGTCCACCCAGGCTCTGGTTTGATTGATTTTGTTTCATTTTATTATTTATTTTTTGCCTTTATGTAGTTGGCCTTCCAACCCAAAGGTTGGCTAAAATGTATCTGGACCTGCTTGGCTTTCCCAGGTACTCCTTTTGAGAGTACATATGGGACAGAAGAAGAGGCCTGGAACTCTGAGGATACTTCGCCAGATGCCACATTTAAATTCCTGTCCCACTCAGTAAAGTGATGGAAATCATGTTCCAATCTGAAAGGTAGTACAGGGAAAAGTGGTAACCATTAAGTATGCATGGTCCTTCCTTCTCCCTGTCTCTCCTGAAGTGTGTGTCTCTCTCTCTCATGGTTAACCTAGCCCAGGGTCTAGTCCTGCTGGACGCCTCAGCATAGAGTTAGCCAAGATTCAGGTCTGAAGTTTGCTTATCTTCCTGCCTATTACCAAGTCCTCAATTAGCACACTTCAGGACACTGCCAGACTGATTTGTGAAATGACAAAATGGCACTTTTTTTTAGGGTCAATGTCCTTTATGAATCATTCTGTTTCATTTCAAATTCTTTCTCTATTTTTTTTTAAATAGGGGGAAAAAGCCTTTTTTACTTCCACTTGCAAGACAAAGTCCTCACTGTTTTCTGTTCAAACTCCCCAGTTGGTCATTTTAAATTTATGTTGAAAGGGACAAGGAATGCCATTTTCAGGTAGATTTCAGCCCTAATCAGATGTATTGAGATCTGAGTAAGAAGCACCACAAAGATGTAGACTGTATTTTAGGAAAAAATGACGTATTTCCATAGGTCTGAGCAGAGCCACAAAGGAGGGAACAGAAGATGTGGTTTAATTCCTGGACCTGAAACTGGCTAACTGTATGGTTTGGGGTACACTACTTAGTCTCACTGGGCGATATGTCCTCATTTCTATAAAAAAAAGGATGAGATTTTAGTCTTTTCGAGGTCTCTCATTTCATACTTCCATGACTAAGATGAATCTGAGCCAATACATTCTATTTCATTCATTTATTTACAAGCTTAAAAAAATTAAGTCATGGGAAAATATAAATATTTAAAGCCAAGAAATTTAAAAAATGTGTTCCAAAGAAAAGACTTACTCACTGCCATTAAGTATATCTTGAATACAAACATTGACTATCTAGGGAAAATACCAAAGTTTGGCATTTTTCTAACAAACAAATGGCATGAACTAACAAAATTGGCTTTGGCCACATTCCTCCTCCTATTTTGACATGTGTCTGTCTATTTTTAATCTTTCTATCAATATATCTCAGTGTGTGTGTGTGTGTGTGTGTATGTGTGTGTGTGTGCAGGTGCGCACACGTGCGTGCACGCATGCATACCCACACCCACATAAATGTGTGCACACATACAAAAACAAGAAAGTGAAGAAGCAATAGGGTTAGGTCTGAACAAAGAGGCAGAGCCAAGACTTACAGGAGCTGCTGAGTTTTTGACGGTGACACTGGGGGTGGTAGCTCTCAGGGCTCCACTCACTCCATGGTAGTATTTGAAACAGATCTTGGTTTCAGCTGAAAGACAAAAATAAAATGGTACTCAGAAGTAGGAAGTAACCCAGGAGGAGACACTTGTGGCCAGAGAAGATACATCTGGGAACTGCAGCCTAATTCCCCCACCAGCCAGCCAGCCACACCTGACAATAATGGCCTACATATGGCCTCATAGCCAAGTCTGACTTCTTCCTAAAAATGTGTCATGAAAAATTGTTTTGTTCTTAACATTTTTTATTTCAAGTTAAATCCATTATTTATACTTCTCAGCATTCATCCTATCCCATTAAAATTATTGCTTTTATATCTTTACTTCTAAGATTTTAGGTAGTTTGATGAGCTGGGTCATTTTAAGGAAGATTTTTAGAAGTTATTTGTTATGGTTTGTATATGAGGTGTTTCCCCAAAGCTCATGTGTGAGACAAAGCAAGAAGATACAGAAGAGGAATGATTGGATTGTGAGAATCTTAACCCAATCAGTGAATTAATCCCTGATGGAATTCAGAGTGGTAACTAGAAGCAGGTGGGGTGTGGCTGGAGGAAGTGGTTCATTGGGGGTGTGGCTATGGCATATATATTTTGTATCTGGAGCTGGAGTCTGTCTCTGTGCTTCATGATCATCACCAAGAGAGCTGCTTTRCTCTACCACACTCTTCTGCCATGATGTTCTGCCTCACCTCCATCCCCAAGGAATKGACTAAGACCTGGACTAAGACCTCTGAAACCGTGAATCTTCAAATAAATTTTTCCTCCTCTACAGTTCTGCTGGTCAGATCCTTCAGTCACAGCAGCGAAAAACTGACTAAAGCATTATTGAACTACAACATGGATGGGAGGTATGTTTTCTAAAATCTTGTGCATATCAGTGATAACTTCTTTACATCACAATTTGTATTCCTTCAAAGTTCTATAGAAGGTAAACAGAAAAAAATATGGCTTTGGGGAAATCACACTGTCTTGACTTTCAGTGGCACTATTGACAATCTGCGAGACAATGGGCACATTACTTAGCTTCTCAGAACCTCATGTTCCTCATGTGGAAAACAGAGCTAACAACAAAGTGTATCTCATAAGATGATGAATAAGCAAATAAAAATGCTTAGATAAAAATCCAGTGAGTGCTCTGTAAATGTTAGTGATGAAGATGATGTGATGAATTAACAATGATGTGGCTCCATTGCCTTCTGGCATTCAGTGATGTAGAGGAAAACATCTGCAGGCAACCTGAATATAGTTCATTTGAGGGTGCCCTGCTTTTCCCAATTCACTATGTATAGGATATTTTCTTAAAATTTGAAAAATTTACCAGGCKATGGCTTGGTCTTTTGTATCAATTTTGTTTGGAACAATATAAAAAAATCTCCAATTTGAGATTCTATTTCTCTGAACGGGGAATTCATCTTTAATTATAATGTTTTAAAATAATACCTACAATTTTATGAGCATGGATTTAAGATATGCTAATTATGGAAAATATGGTTAATGAAGAAAAGTCTAAATAAAATGAAAATATTCTATGGGGTTTGCATCCTTGAGAGCATAAACTTTAATTATGATGCATTTTGCTCTTCTTAAATAATTATGCTCAACATTATTTAAAACTTTGCAGATAACATTTCTTGTTCTGTAGAAGAGATTTACAATTTGTAAGTGTTCCTCTACTTTTGGAAATTTGGGCTTTTCCCTCAAAAGGAATGACTTTCTGCAAACTATATTTTAAGTTTAAATTTGCTCCTTAGATAATGGGACAACAATTGCTAGCTACCTACCCAACATCCATTCTCCTTTTCCTCCTTAATAATAGAATCTCAATTTTATTTTGGATGATAATCTCCAACTAAGCACTATGTTTTGTAGCCTCTCTTTCTGATCACATCTGTGTTGTTTCCCATAGTTGTTTTGGGATTTCTCTTACATGTAGCTAAACCTAAATCTAATTGACACAGGAAAATTCCTTGATGTAGAAAACATGAATATTGTAATATTCTTTCTTGGGTTAGAAAATATGAATATTTTAAGTATTCTCCAAATTGCTTCTTGTGTCCAAATTGCTTTCTAACAGCACTTTCTACTTCTACCAGAATATGTAACATCAGATTCTGACAACTATTGGTAGGTAGCATTGAACATTATCAATTAAAAATAAGCTTAAAATAGAATCTCATTATCATTTTCATTTCCTTTTTTTGATTACTAGTGAGATTAAATATTTTTCTATCAAATTTTAACTAGCTATTTGAGTTTTTTTTAATACATTGAATTATAGTTGTTAAAACTTTCCACTGCCCAAATGATGCCTGGGAACGTACCCTCTTGTTTTAGGTGGATGTATTCTATAGATAAGTCAATACTTTCAGTTTCCTTCCTGCATCATTCTTTCCCTGTAGTTATTTTGCAAGCTCTTGGATGATAATCTAATAACCTATTTCTGTACGTATTTTCCAAGACGTCTCCCATTGTCCTCATGTCAGGTCTACACAGCCAGCCCCAATACACTCTCAGCACAAGAGGCAGGTTTCTTATAGGTCAGGGATCATGGAGGGACTGTGACTAAAGCTGGGAGCATACAGGTAGCTAATCACAATGAATCAGTGCTATTTAGTGTATGAGCTACTCTGTCTGTAGATGTTTGGGAGACCAGCATGGAGGGGCCAAATGGCTTTAATGTGAATTCAGTTGGTGGAAGGAATTTTGAGGTAACAGGCATCCTGAACCGATACTACTAGTTTCTCATTCAAAGCAGAAAATTGTTTCAATGCCTTTGAGCAAAAAAAAAAAAAAAAAAAAAGGTCAGGGAAATTATGTACAATCATGTGTTAAATCCTATTGCTGAGTAATATTCCACTGTGTATGTGTACCACAGTTTCTTTATCCATTTATCTATTGAAGGGCATCTAGGTTGCTTCCACAGTTTAGCCTATTGCTAGGTAGACAGATTACTTCTTATTTTGAGTCAAGAATTCATGGCAACCTTCAGAGTGTAATACTCTCCTTTTGAGAATCATTGGCAAAGTTTCTTTTTCTTTTTCCTTAAACATGTATTTAATAGTATGTTCCAGTACTTAGCAACTTGATTATTAATGAATGTTCCTTTGATTTAATGTAAAATGTCTCTTGTAGTTTAAAATGATTTTCCATTGGAATTTGAAAGAGATATTAAAATGTCTTCTTATTTGGGAGTATTTTTATGAAGGGAAGTCATATATCAATGTTAAAACAATGCAAAATGCAAATTTTTTATTTTATGGCTTTTAAAAAAGTCACTTCATCCCCCAGAATTCCATGTTACTTTGTACTTATTCTGGTGACAGTTACATTAAAATGTTTAACGTGACTTTCAGTTTTTTTCAGGAAAGAGATTTATATCTACAGTATTATGCAATGCAGGGGTCTTCCATCAATACCTACTGAAAAATTATTCAAGAGTTATGGTCATGCTTTGATCAAGGATGGTGGTATATGTGATGGTGATCCCATAAGTCTATATGGCCTTGTGATGTTGTAGCCATCTTAGTTTACATTAAGTATAATCTATGGATTTTTCCATGATAAAATCACCTGATGATGTATTTCTCAGAATAGATTCCAGCCATTAAGTGATACCTGACTCTATTGGTTTCATTTGATTGACTTTTCTGCCTTATTAACTCAAGAGAAGATAGAGTGTCCTGGTGGATACTGGTTCTTAAAAGAGAACACACACACACAATATTATATGACTCTGGGAAATGTGCAAGTATATAGATTAAAATATTTGTGATGCGTAACAATTACTGCCCTTTGAAAAAAATATCAAGGTCCAAAGACCAAGAAATACTAAAGGATTGTTGGTTACTATTTCAGATACCTTATTTAAGGTAATCTACTGTGATCATGTCTTTCTCTGCTTTTCGAGGTAAAATAATAATAATAATTTTAAAAATCCTTTCAAAGCACAAGGCATCTTCTGAGCACAAGGCATCTCTGCTACAATAGTCTCATTGTTTATTGGAGTACTTATATAAGTAGTTACAGAAGGTTAGGAAGGCAAAGTGATCAAGGAAAGAGGAGTGATGGGAGATGGAATAGGTGTGAGTTCAACTCTTGCCTCAGCTCTCATTGCTGGGTGTGAGTTCCATGGCTCTCTGAGCCTTAGTCTTAATATAGGATGGCAAGGCTAGGTGAACGTCAGAGATATTGTTTCATATACTGCTGTTATGCAGAACAAGTGGAATTATTTGTGAAGTAGTACTCATAAAGCCATTAACACCTTTGTTGGCTTCTAGATGATCAACAGGGTTGACTTGRAGAGTTGTTTAGAGATGTCCTACATGAAGGTATCCAGCCCATGATCTATGCATTAAAAGGTGTAGTTCTAGACTTTCCAGAAGAAAAGATGCCATACTAACCCTATATAGGTTCATGGTAGTTTTGAAATAGATCTCTTATAATATTTGGGGTTTTCACTTTTATTTATTTATTTATTTTGCCTAATTCATGAGTTATTATCAAGTTTGAGCAAGGGGTGATAAGCTTCTTCACAAAGTAGAGCAAAACCAAAGTTTCTACCTCTATAAACATATGTTTTGTGACTAATTTTTATTTTGGACATGTACTCGGAAAATACAGGTTGACTTACTTCTGTTATTATGTCACTTAAACAAGAAAATTGCTTTTTTTCCCTTTTATATGCTCTTGAGGATTTAGCAGAACTGCTGTTGCATTTAACTATAGTATGCAATGAAGGTGGTAGACCTGGTGTAAGCAAAATATTCAATTAAGTTTGTAAGTTATGATTAAATTGGTCTTAATTAATTAGCACTTAACACGTAGCAAACCATTTATATTATTTTATAATTTGATTCCCACTAGAATCCTATAAAGTATGGCAATATTATTAACCTCTTTTTGTGTGTGTGTTTAGCATAGTGCTTGGCAAATAATCAGACTTCAAGAAATGTCACCCGTTAATCCTGTTTTACATCTAAGGAAAATAAAACCAAAATGTAAGGATATTTATTCAAGGTCACACCTATGGTTAT